TTTATTGAAAAATTGATTGCCAGCTGACTTTGGCGTCCTTGAACACGCTACGCGTCATGTCAGCGAGCGGTCCGCTAACAATGTAGCGCGCTTTGAATATTTTCAACAATAAACCGTTTCTTCCGAAATTAGGCTACATACAATACAAATGGTCATTGGAATGTCAGACAGGTTAGGCTCAAGTAACTTAATTTGTTGGCATGCCCGTATGCGTTTTTTTAATTAAACCGCTACACTAGAGTTCTGATACCGCTATAGATTATATATTTAATCTTTTCTCCACCCGTTCTGAACGTGCCCTCTATACAGAACAAAATATGTAAGAGTTATAGTATGAAACCGCAATTTCTTGTAATTTGTGCGATTGTCGCAGTCTAATAGCAATAAAAGAAACTTTATAACAAAAATTCTAAACGTTGAAGAAAGCGATCAGAACTATCGTGATTTCTTTTTTGTGGGTGATGTAACTATAACTGACACAGGCATGGTATTCGATTCCTGTTTCCAGGGTTTTGAAAAATGTGCTAATATGACTTTTGTTTCTCGGTTAATGCCAACGAAGCTTAGTTTCATATTGTAACTAAATCCCTTATCGGATGGCACAGTTAGTAATCTTTCGTTCTGTATGGAGGGGCCTACTCCTTTACGTTCGCTCGTTGAGAACGTCGGTCGGCTAGACCGATATCCTGGAACGATATGAGATTTCTAGTGTATTTTTTTCATATTCTATAGTAACATTATAATATAAGCCTGGTTCCAGTTTGACTGAGTTTTTCAGCGTGACTATCTGTATCTTATGTATCCTGATTCCGGATGGAACGGAAATTCAAATAATAAACAATAATGACAAAATGACCGTGGGCTTTTGTTCTTTGCTCTCGTTTTTAAGAGTGACGTTGTAGGAGAAGCCTGGCTCGAGTTTCACTGAGCCTTTGAGGTTCGTCTCTGATAAATTTGAAGATGAGATTAAAATTTCCGGGCTGTGCTGCATCCGGACCTCGACCTACATATGAATATGAATAGCGAGCAATAAGATATCTTTCATCCTGAAAATATAACAATTTAATCAAAAAAAGAAGGTGTTACGTGTTATGGAAATTTAAACATACGTATATGGTATCTTTGTTTTCAACATCTTTCATTTCCACTTCCACTCCGATTTCAGCATTTGGTAGAAACAGCATCCTTGGGGATCCAAGGACTAATTCCAAAAATAAAATCCCAATCAGAATAGCTCTCATCTAGAAAAAATAATTAAGTATAGTATAAATATTACTATAAAAGACAAGAAGTATAGACAAATAAAAGTAAGGTGATACAACATGATTTTTAACATTGATTAAATCGAAAAAAATAATCTTTGATGTCAAAAATTTTCAGGTGTTTAGGGCTTCAAACATACGTATATACTACTGTTTTCCACATCTTTGATATCCACTTCAACTTGAATGCCGTGATCGGGCAAGAAGATCATCCTCGGCAATGAAAAAACTACTCCAGGAAAGGAAATCCCAATAAGAATGGCGAAGAATCTCATCTAGAAAATAAAAATTAAGTATAGTTATTATAATACCATAGAAAACATAAAGTATAAACAGATAGAACTGAGGTGATACAAGATGATTCTTAACATTGACTAGATCAAAAAAAATGATCTCTGAACTCATATGGGAAACAACAGAGATAATAATAAAGAGCAGTGAGCAGATTTTCATCCTGAAAAAATAACAATGTAATCAAAATGAAAGAAAAAATAATTAATGATAAATGGCAAGACAATGAACTGCAGATAAACCAATTTATGCAATGATGGTACGATTTTTGTCCTGTCATACTTTATAGAATAATCTACAAAGGTTGGTAGTGCCAACATTCAATCAGAAAGATTCAGGTACGGTCCGATCGTATCATAATCTTTAACGGTTACTGGTGTGGTGTCGTAATACAAACGTAACAGAATACCGTGGAAAGATAACAATAATAATAAGACTAATTGTTCATTATAAGAAGTTCTACATGATAGCATAAAGTTCACATGTATCGAGATCACTACCTAACACTGATCACAATATGGAGATGACAAGAGGGGTGGAGAACTCTACATCGACAACAAAGTTAACTACTTGTTGTTCATATAATTGTTTCTTGTTTCTCAAACTGTTCAGTCTTTAAATTCTTTTGTGGCTGTACTTCAGTCGTTACTCTGCTGGTTATGGTTAGATTAATTACTCTTCACATTCTGCTGTGATCTCGATAAGCTAAAGGTTTCAGCGTGTCAATCTGTAACTTTTTTTTCAATCTCAACTGTTTCATGACGTAGTGTTGTATATCATTCACCACAGCTGCTTAGAGAGTTTTCTTTGTAATACTCGAAAAAAATGCTTGAAACAGTTGAGAGTTCCGGCAGCAGTTGTATTGCCAGCGTTCATTCAATTTCTCGCCACTTTCTATTTTATCTTGCAACATATTTCTTATCGATAGCAATATGCATATATATTAATGATTCCGAAAACTCTCAAGTATATGGCTATTGCTATTGATGAGAAATATGTTGCAAGATAAAATAAAGGTTCCATTCTCTAGCAAAATTACTCATTATTCGTTCAGATTATAATGAGTACAACATCACTTTATTCTTCAGATGTATCAATAAAAGCAATTAAAATTTCTTTATTAGCGCTTATCAAGCTAATCATTTAAGTTTAAACAGCCATAAAATATATGTAGCAGGGCGTTACGTATTCAATGTATCGGTTTCAATAGCATAAGACGTCTTTTTTTTCTAATTTCCTAATTTTTCAAAATGATGTATTACAGAACTCAAAATGAAAGTGCTGGGTTTCTTCTTTTCGCTATGCTTTCTCGGAATTTCGGCGAAAAGTTTTTATAACTTAACAGCAGGTAGTAATATTTGATAGAAATCAGTTTAAAAGTTGTTTCTTGCTTCTAGTCAGCATTGATCTCCTCAAAATAAAAGGTAAAGATGATAAACCTTTTGGTCCTCCAAGATATTCTAATGACGAAATGGCCATGGGAACTTCGTTTGTGTATACCTATTTGAGCAATCATCTGGAACCAGACAGCTCTGAACGACTATTCTTAACTGTGTCTAATCCAAGTGATGGAGCAGCCAGTATAACAATCACCTCTCCTTTTAATGGTTTCACTACAATCATGAGAACAGTTCCTGCTCATCAATCGTTACCAGTAAGAGATTAATGATGAAAGAAACTGTTTTACAATCTCGAAAATGTTTGAAGATCAACATTGTGCCAACCAATATTCAAGCAGACTATGACAACAACTTGCTCAGAAATTACACTATTGGTAATTGTCATGAGATGATAATAACTATCAACTTATCATTTCAGACAATAGATCCATTTTTGTCACTTCAAACGTTTCAGTCAAACTAGTGGCAACTAATCAGGCTTCTGACGGAAGCTCTGAAGACAAGTTTGCTGTTTTGCCGGTTGCGTTCAAACATGAACTAATTTTTGTAACCAAGCTTTAAGATATGCCAACTGGGTTTCGAATATATTGTCATTGCTGATGAAGCTCCACGAAAAAATATTTCTACTGTCAACATATTTAGTGTTATTGCAATGGAAGATAACACACAGGTACATGCCTCTGAATTCTCTGATTAAAGATATATCTTCAGGTTCGCATTGGATATCTTCTTATAAATGAGAATTTATCCAAAGGCCAAGTTTTAACCTATGCAACAGACTACGCTGTCAGTGGTTTTGATATCAAATCGAATAAGAAGATCGCAGTCATCACAGGAAGCATGTGTGGTTTTGGATTTTCTAATCCACAGCATTGTAGTCATGAAGTAAGCCTAACAGTTTGAACTACTCATTGAGGACCTCATATTTTTAGGCTACCATGGAATACCCAACAAACGATTGGGATACGGAATATCCTCATTATAAGTTCAATTATGAAGATGCTTCGGAGGTTATGGTCTTTTTTTTGGTAAAAAAATACAATTTATTAGTTATGATAGCTTCATTTCAAGCAAGACAATACAAGTATTACTATCGACGACTACACCATTCCGGTTCTCTACAGTAGTGACCAATTTGTTATCTTTGGAATAAACACTGGAATTTATATCAGTGCAGATAAACCAATTTATGCAATGATGGTACGATCTTTGGCCTGTCATACTTTATAGAATAATCTACAAAGGTTGGTAGTGTCAACATTCAATCAGATGGGGCACCTTTTTTGGTCAACCTTGTTGGAAAGAATCATATGACATCAGGGCCTGTAGTTTTCGCGTGAGATTATATAGGCAAATAACCATTAAAGACTATATGTTCCAGTACTGGAATGAACTCGGATGAAGGTTTGAACATGAAACATTTCGCCAGAGTTATAACAACTCTTGATTTTACCGGATACATCAGCGTCAACGGGTATACGCCAAATCCTATACTGTACAGAAGGTAAGTTTTTGAAGCGACTCAAAATGTTAGCTCATTTCATATTGCAGGATGGGAAAAAGTGACTACTACTTCATTGATGTTCAAGTGACAGCAGGGCAGCAAGTAGTTCAAACTACTGATGCTGGTGCTACTTTCGGGTGAACCTCTCTTGATTTCGTTTCACATTTTAGTTACAGAGTAATCGCATATGGATATGGATTTTTCAGATCTTATGCTTTCAACCCAGGGCTTAACTTGCAAAGTGATAGATTTTTCAAAATATTTACAAAAAGGTTATTATCATTTTCAGCTGACGGAGCTTGCTGAGAACATTAATGAGGGAAAACTGAAGTAACTTTCGAGTGTAATATTCGTAATAGTACCCATTAAAATTTCTATTTCTTAAGTTAGTCATGAATTGAATGAACAGGTTGCGAACTCTAGTCGCTAGCTTACGCATGATTGAATGATCATTATGATTTTCGATGATTCGAAAAAAAAAATGGCTTTGTGGAGTAATCAACATGCTAGATTTATTAATGAGTTATACAGTCTAACATGAACAGAAAAACAAACAAACAATCTGTGATGTTGTGTGAATTCGATGAGATGCTGTTAAATGAAGTTATTAGTGAAAAGGAAACAAGTTGAAAAATAGAAATAGAATATTTTGTTTGATTTCGGTTGAAGCACAACTAGCTCAAACTCCAAATAATGAAACATTGTCCTTAACTGCTTGAACTGCAAATCAAAAAAACTGAATACGTCGACTAACTTTTCAAACATACTTCTAACTCTTTGCAGTTCCGATTGTCCAGATCTTATATAGACAAAATCACCGGACGAAGTCATAATGGCATGTTCCATGGCCAGATGGTTATTTTCCTGCAGCAGTATATTAGAACTTATTTTTTTGTTTTTGTGAACTCACCAAAGATAATGGCAGACGGATGTTCCTACCAGGGTTTGACAACGAATACAATCGGATTTCCCCATTGTTGATAAGTAACATAAGGAAGTTCAGTTTAGTTCCTGAAGTATCGGCTCAGTCACAAAACCACGAAGTTGTTTACCGTTTTTATGGGTTAGTTGAACTATTCTTGATTTCCGATTTTTCAAACCTTCTTTGCATGTTAACTTGATTTTATAATTTGTGGACTTGAGCGAGGGAATCAAAAATAATCGAACTTGTTCTTGAGTCACTACAAGAAGTCTAGAAACGGCGCCGTTCTTAAATGAAATATATTTCCTTTGATACGTTCTTCTATGCTAACCTTTGTTGAATAATCAATGAAATGATCAACATCAATTATAGGAGCTCCATGAGCTAAGACAATCTCTTTGTCTTGAATCATTGTCACCTCGTGACCTTCTTCTGCGACAGAGCAACAAAACAACTTTCCTCCATTAGTACCAACAAAGAGGACATCGGTCATCTGTAATCATCATATTTACCGTACCAGAAGTCCCATCTTACCCCATTAGTCCATGGTAGCTTGATGAACTTAGAATAACGAATGAGCCAAGGCTTATAAACTTCTCTCCTGACTGTTCGACTTTCGACACATCTTTCCATAGGTCTCATATCGCTTTGAGCGTCTTCTTTCGGATATTCAAAGGTTTGCTGTTTTCTCCCTTCTCCCTTAAATCAAACGTTGTTTCACAGTTTCTTCATAATGATGCTCACAACAGAAACTGACTGATCTTCATCTCTTGGTCTTCGACGCCTTCTGAATGTGTCACGAATAGATTTTTTCATTGATTTAAATACACTCCAAGTGTCATTAGGCATTACAACATCACTTAAGTCTGAAGAACAAGGAAAAGTTAGAGAATTTACGTTGAATTGTAACCATCTAATGTGATGAAAGATCTCTGAAAAATGATCATATTGGCTTTATAATTGATGACTGCAAAGCCAAATTCTGCGGCAGCAACAACTAGATTGCGGTGACATAACAGGGATAATGAATAAATTGGAGTATTAGGTACTAATTGAGCAAAAAAGCTGTAAAAAATGATTTCATGAGATATAAGTATTATTATGACTACCTTTTTCCATTTTCGGAAGAGTAAGGTTGATAACCTGCCTTGTAATGGAATTCAGTTCGCCTGGGTGTGTTCAGATTCGTTGGGATTTTTTTTATTTTGCTATGAGTAGCAATCTCTTTCCCACATAACATTATATGAAGTGATTCGGGCACCAAAGTCTAAAATGAAAACTAAAGCGACCTTGTTACTCTTAATGTTACCAATTCTTCGTTGTTCATTCTGTATATCAGAACAACTCCCATCTTGGTTCCGACAGCTAGGATACCAGTGTGTGAATCAATCTCTAGAGATGCTATCTCCAATCCAGGTTCGTCGGAGTATGTATCATAAACACCAACTTTATAAAATTGGCATCCACTAACACACTCCTCGTTCGAAACTGAGGAGGAAAAATCGAATCCTTCCATGTATTCGTATTTAGTGGAAATTTGGAAGAGGACTGTTCCATTCCTGATACCAGGCTTTGTGATGGTGATACTTCCATCAGAAAATCTGTAATATCATTGTTTATTTCATTTCACAAAATTCCAAACCCAGTCAAAACTAATTGATTATTATCATATTTAATGTCCGTATCGGTAGTGTTAGACAAGATATTTGAGAAGAATGTATGACTCCGAGTACTGTACTTCGAATCATCACACCAGGACAACTTAGATATCTTAAAAGTTTTGTTATTGCTACTTGTTCTTCTTTACTTTACCTCGTTCAATTGGGTGAGCAACTGCATTTCCGCTGTGAGGCTTTGAGTGCAAGTGATCTGAACACATGATTTAACTTTTGATTTAATTTTAACAAACTAACATCATGAGCATCTAATGGATACAAGAAGCGTGTTGGATAAGGACGATAGCATTCACTCCTCAAATCAATAAATACAAGTTCGTTTTTGGCTAGAATGATGAGAACACTCGCAAACTTATCGTCAGCTGAAAAATTATTTTTGAAACCTTTTTTTTTAATTAAAAACCATCTGATTCGTGAGCTATTTCAATCGATTGAACAGGAGAACCAAGCTCTAATGAACATGTTTTAGAATCAGATCTCAGTGTCACTATATTTCTATCACCGAATATGGTCTCAGTCACACCACCAATGAATACGAGAGTTTTCTCCATTACGTCTGATTTGCTGAATATCATATACTCATTATGCATAATATATTTGAAAAATACTTTTTACAATAACAGTACTGTACTTGTCTAAGACCTTTGTTAGGAAAACAACTGAAGAAGCCATTAGATGTATTCGTTTCCGTGTTACGTCTCAAATTCTGGACACATAAGCTAAAATGAAGATGTATAAATAACAAAAATTCATAGCATACTCGATAATATTTCCACTGCGTTCTTGTATACAAATGACATCTTCGATAGTCCATGTAACATTCTAAATAGAACACAATCATTGTTAGATAGCCTATCGTTGTATTATACCTCAATATTGATTGATATATCAAGAACAGACTCTGTTATAATCTTTTGCGTTTTAATATCTATCATTGTTAAAACATGATGACTTTCTTCATCTAATTCAATGTTAGCTTCAACTTTCTGTGTTATGAGTATCTTATCAAGATTAGGAGAAGCTGCCATCTGAACAATAGGAGCATTTCGTAGAAATCTGAATATTATTGAAAAAATTAATTTTTGAATAAATTTAAATGTTATTACTGTCCAAATTCGTCACATCTTGTATATTCTTCACATGTGAGCGTTTCTAAGAACGTTTTTGATATATTACCACCTTGTGTACCTATAACTCAGATTGATTAACAAACTTTCTCAATAACGTTTATAGTAAATAGTACCTTGTAAGAATACAAACTTGTTGTCAACATTTTTTGCGATTGAATAAGCATTAGTCACTTTCCATCTAGGATCTTTCTGCATTTCCTCAACCGCAACACTCGAAGCTTAACAACCAATCATATATTTTCATGAAATCTAATTCATTACCATTAACGAATAAACGGAAAAATTTGATTTCTTTTCTTGATGATGCTTCTATCACAGCAAAGCCGGATCCTGTTGCAAATACTATTTTTCGAGGCACATAGTCTTTGGATTCAGTTAGAAAACAACTCAAAGACTTTTCTTGTCCAAAACTTAAAAATATGACATTAATAAATAATAATATTGAAATTTAAACATACATAGATATTTTTCCCTCACAGGTCGCCACACAAAAAAGATTTAATACTTCATCAAAAGCAACTGCAGTTACATTAGATGGATATCCAATTGTGTCAACCTGTAATACATGCATACTATTCAATTTGTATATTTAACAATATTACCTTGCTATACTCAAAGAATTCTGATATTTGGATATGATCATCTAATAAGGTATTGAACGAATTTCTGATAAACCTCAGCATAAATACCTAAGAAGAGCTATATGAATGTTGTATGATGAAAATATGAGTAGGAGTGAGTTAAATTTCTAAAAAGACGCCATATGTTGTCTGCGTACGCACAATGACGCATTGTAAGGTCAGCACACTATGTTCGGTTTATTCAGGTGGAGGACAATGCGTACAAAAATTATACAGTACACTTGGCGCCAAAAACAATGATGAAAATGAATAATAAGGTCTATAGAGCAACAATAAAGAACATTTAAATTTCAATGAGAAACATTTTGTTTCCTGACATGTGCGTTAATCTATGAGTCATCTAAGTGGTTTGTTTGCGCAAACGAAAATTTCGCAACCTTTTTTTTGGGATCATGTGAAACAAGTTTGAACATTGTATATGTTCAGTTTGAATAGAAAAATTGATTAATCATGAATCGGCTTTCTACAGTTGCATTCATTGTTTTGGAATTTCAGAGAGAGATTTATAAGAACTATTTGAGAAATGGAGAGAGTGTGTAGAGAAAGAGTGTAGAGACAGAAAGAGAAAGACAGAGTGTGAAGGGAAATGTATGAAAGAGAATGATTTGATGAAATTCTTTTTTTTGATTGATTGTTTAATTAATAATTATTCTTTTAAATCTTTTTTTTTGTGTTTCATTCTTCTGTAGTGTTTTATCTATTTTTTTCTGAAGAATATGA